CGCAACTTCAAAGCTTATATTATTCACATCTTCTAATTCAAAAGACATATTATCTTCTGCTTCAAAGTTTTTTGAACTGTCACAAAGATTTTCCTGACTGAAAGCAATTGGGCAAATGTCATCTGCAGTTTTATAAGATTGAATTCCAAACTTAATATTGCCTATGAAAATTTTTTTAGAACTAAATAACTTATTTTCAGAGTTAGAAAATAAGTTAACCAAATTATCATTACTAGTCTATTATCTTGAATTTTTTTAAATTTCTTTGTAAAATTATATCTTTCGCTATAAGGATTTGGTATCTGACTGTTATCTTCATCATTAGCTGTTTTAATGCATTTATTCATATATTAACTATATCCAATTCTTGAATAAAGAGGTGTTAAGGTGATTAGTAGAAGAATTTAAAAGGCTAGTTTGCCAGAAGATACAAAGTATATATCTAGAGAAGTATATGAAGATGCATAAAATAAGAAGATTATAGTAAATTTTCCAGAAAAGAGGAGTAATTGTTTCTCTTTAATCAATACTATTTTTAACAGAGTAAAAATTAGTAAGACCAAGTTGGTAATCATATAGTTAGTGTAGTTAAATAGAAGATTAGTAAGAATATTAATTAGCTGTTAAGATATTTGTATATGCTTAAAGGATTTTTAAAATAGTTTAAAGTTAACTGAGTCATAGGTCTTGCTTATATCTTGAGAAAGTAGATAGAGTTGGTTTGAGTTACAGTTGGCATTTTTGATTATATTGTTAAGAATGTGAATAGAAGTAGAGATTAAGTTGTCACAAAGTATACAAAATTAAAAGAAGACAAAATATTATATTTAGAAAGAGTAATATTAAGACAGTTTATAAGAAGTTTGGTATATAGTTTTTTAATATATATATATTTTTTTTTAATATTTAAAGAAATACTTTGGGTGTAGTACCTGCCCCAAACTTTTATTAATACTTAAGTGAATTGACATATGATGGTGCCATAAACACATATATATTATATATTAGTATTAAGATTAGGACTTTAGATATATAAACTATTTATCTATAGCTAAAACCCACCAGAGCTATCACACTCCTATGTATATAATTGATCTGGTTTTTGTACTTTCTTCTTTAACTGCTAATTAGTATTCACATGTCCACCATATTACTTACATAATCTATTATTTTAACTCTCAAATTAGTATGTGTTTCTTCAGATAGATAATTTTTGCTTTCAGTTTGGTGTATCTGATAGAGAATTCTCTTAATCTCTACTAGTGTACTTTCCAGGAGTTCATATCTCAAGCCATGCAGCTATCTCTACCCAATTGGGTAAGTACCTCAAGCCTGCATGCTGCTATAACTAGCTAGATTTCTTGCAACTTTGAAACCCAGATCTTAACATTGCAAATTCAGTGATATATGAATAACTGTACTT